ATGGATCTAATTGCCAAGATGTTACGTATAAGAAGCAAAACGAATGTCAACCGAAAATCCGAGTTGGTGGAGAGAAGATGATCGAGCGTCAAAGCAGCTTGTCGTCGTACCATCTGAGAACTGTCTAAGCAACGATCCTAAACTGTTGTATTAGAATGTTGCAATTTGGAGCAAAAGAAAGGAAAGAAGAAGACAAAACCTTTAAGCTGTTAACAGCACTTTCGGCCTCCGAATTTTCCCTAATCCGTGGAAAATAGGCCTGCAGTGCAAGTATAGAATATTTCCGAACACCAACCTTAACGAGGAAATCAAGTGGCGCTTCAGAGAAATGCATTGTTACTATGATCTCACCGTATCATCAACAATTCCAGATAATATGATGTGTAAGACGAGATTGTTAATAACAATTTCAGAGTCATCCATGAACATCCTCTCTAGCACCTCTTCATGATCGTCTTCCAGTTCCTCTAGTTCATTCAGGATGACCTCGCCCTCCCCAACAAAGACTTTTGGGGCCTCCTCAAACTAAATGCGCAAAACTCATGGACCAGAAACGAAGCTCAAAGAAAGGAAAAAAAACAAATACCATTTTCCTGGCATAATGATCGAGTTGTGCACAATGATCATCATTTTCAATCAAAGGGACTAAGTGAAACATAGCACGCATCCGTACTGTCGATGCCTTATCAAAACATGAGCGGATAATGAAAGTGTAAAGAGCCTGCAATGCTGGTACACGAGCTGGTATGTCTTGCCTAAAAAGTTAACGGTTAGGAAGTGTATTTTTTTAAAAAAATATCAGAAATGACTGGATATATGCCCGTTAGAACTTACTCAATACATGTGGAAGATGCGCTATTCCTATCGTTGGCATGAACATTTTCATCGCTTTCGTCTGTGGAATCACTATCCGTATCGCTTGAATGTTCACTTCCATCACTTGTGTCTAATTTGTCATCACACTCATCTTTGCGTTCTCCAGTTTTACCTCTGTCACCATCAGCAGTCCCCATAGCGTTTGCCTTCAATTCAGAAATAGAGCCAGTTGAATATTTAATCTTAAAAATTCATATAAGAGAGAGATCAAATAACCTTCACCTAGTATTTCAATTTGAGAACGCGCGTGTCGCAGTGGTAAGAAGTGCTCTGCGACATACATTGATCGACCCATCGACGGTCGATGGCTCGACCCCGCGCTCTCATCTCATCAAACATTCCATCGTTCCGCGGTCGGTGAATTGGTACTAGACTTGTCTGGGAGGATAGCATCACCGACTCTCGAGGACTGAACAACTATGGTAAACAGCTGGCCAAAAATGTCCCTTAGAAACCAATAAATCTGAGCCACCGCGAAACTGCAGTGTTAGAGTCCGGTGTTTTTTCTTACACAATTTGATTTTCATTTACAACGACGTCTAGCCACCGCAGTTTTCATCACATTAGATAACGCTAAGCTCTCCGTGACCAAGCGTACTCACTGACTTTCTGGGCTTCGTTTTGAAAAAGCAGCCACTTGTCAAAGTCATTGTAAAGAACGCATTTCAAACTCACCGTTAGAAGTGATAAGTGCAGTTCTATATTGTAGAGACTAGAAGCGGTAATCATTTTCCGAATAACCGAATACGTAGAGGCATAAGGTCAATTGTGTTTTTTAAATTAGTTATCCACCTGATTTAGACGATAACGACAACTTTACACATCGTTAGGACACCACAAGTCGTTGTATGAGACAAATATGCATGTGATCATCTTGCTATGAATGAAGTGAATACATGACGCATTGTTCAGAAAGTGACAAATGCCGTGTCCTGTGTTGTTCATTTGTAATCGCCAAACAAGGAACCGATTAGGTTTACAAATATCACTCCGCCGTTTTTTTTTTCCTTTGCAGTAAAATAGTTGGAACAATAACGTGGAAATTTTTTGTTTGAAAGTGCATTGAAAACGCTATTTGCTTACACGTTTTTAGGCACAATTTTTTTTTGAATTTTCAACATGTCATCTCCTTAATAAAATTCCTTAGATAATGGTTTTTATAGGACTTAAAGAATGTCGACTTTTGCACACGAAAAACACCCTTTTTGATTTGTCAGTTTGTGATTTGAATTTGGTAATTACAAGTGGCAATCTGTTGGTGCAATGTCGACAGAGTAAGGCGGATAAGGTAAAACCTCCTGAAACCTACCACCTCAGCTCTTTTACGACGTTTTCGATCGGTTGCAACATCAAGTTAAACGCTATCATACAACAAAATCACTTTGTCGTATCTTAAGGCCCATTTCAGTCGTTTTATTTTCAATTCAGTTTAATTTTTTGATTGTTGTCGATGAAGTGCTGCTTTGGCCATTTCAGAAGCTCATTGTAGAAGACGCCTTTCTGATCTCACCAAATGCAACCTTCTATTCGTCACTATTACGTTTTGCAGTCTATTTTGCTGGTTTTTTTGGGACCGGTCCGTTATCGTCCTCTCTTTGGATTGTCAAAATAATCCACTTTTCGTCTCCAGTCACTATGCGATGCAGAAAAGTCTTCTTTTCGGCGGCGGCTTTCTTTGAATTAAACATGAAAAGTAGGGCTTCGCAAATGGCGATTTCGGCGAGTACCAAAGCCGTTATCTTCAAAGTCCTATAAAAGCTATTACTCAAGGTATCTTGTACACGAAAAAATTGCATTTTTATTGTTATTACAGCAAAAAGGACGGTGGAATCATATTTGCGCACCTAATGAAAGCTTCAAGAAAGTATAATTTTGCCGAAGCATCTATCTAAGCACTAATAAATCATTAATGCATTGGCGGACAACTGGAGTTCAAAGCCGTACATGTTTCGGAAAGTCTCGCTGGGAAAATCAGCAACTAAGTTCGCCAACCCAACATGATATCAATGAAAATCCGAGCCCATTCTTTTCTGAACCATTCATATCCATTCAAACACAAGAAGCTGGGCTCCTACCATCTTTAATTTTTCAGAATGCGTAAAAACAGAGCCTACAGAGTAAGTTCACTTGCACTTACGCGACGTTTTCTCTATAGAAATCACACGCAGGAGCAGGTACTGCGGCCGGTACAACCTTTCTCAAGGTCATTTTTTTTCCAACAGATTATATCGAAGCGCAGTGATTTTTTACCGTACTTCTCTTTACCATTTGATAGCTAGGACTCAAAGGTAGCGATTGCCTATGAGAGATATTCTCCACGTCCACTATTTTCCAAAAGCCTTTTTTTCAGATGGTTTTATTGACCGTTAATTCGATTAATAGCGACTGTTAAGTTATTGAAGTCGTCTCCGCTTGTCGCCGTGAAGCTGGTATAATAAGTACATAAAACCCTTCTGAATAGTTCACTTGATTTTCCATGACAGTTTCGATACGGTAAACATAATCGAAGGTGATTACTATTAAGGTGAGATCTTTTTAATAGCATAGTACAAATACTTGAACCGATAAGTAACCTTAATTCAAAATCACTTCTGATTCAGTAGTAGAGCGATTTCCAAAACATGCACTGCATTTACTTGGGAGTGATTCAACATAAATGTCTCGCCAAAGTAATCGATTTCTGTCCTAAAAGTCTGATACACAGGAATCTGGATGTACGTGATTTACACATGCTCACAAATTGGTAAGAATACCTTTACTCTTCTGTCGTTCTTCAACGATTTTGGAACATCTCCTGATGGTGTTATATGCTATAAAACAGGGCAATGAATAAGAAATTCTACATTTTTGAAAAATAAAGAGGAAAAAAAGGCATGAGATTTTAACTCACTAATGGGGTACTTGATTTACTTGCACTTGCATCATGAGCGCCATCAAAAGCCTGGACAGCATCGTCACTCCCTGGATTGATCCATATAAATCGATTGTCGATTGATGCACTTTATTCATGGTGTCATGATAATCGTCATATCATACAGCAGGCAATTGCTACAGTGAAGTCTAATCTAACATAATGTCATCTTGATTGAAACTAACGAGTCATTGTTGGTATTTGGGAAACCACACCGTCGTCAAGGCCGAGCATAAATGGAGTCTACTAATAATGAGTTTTCACTGTGGCTGATTGGTGTTATCTATCATTTTTATTATCTTTTTGATCTTCTAACATGTTTATCCTGTGTTATTCACTTCTAATCATTATGATTGTAGAAAGTGAGTTGATTAGGCCGTGATAATGATATCGTCTAACGCCCGCAATCCTCATATTTCGAGCGTATGCTAGTTCAAACAAACCTCCTGGTACAGCGAAGTTAGTCCAGACTTGTCCGGAATCAACTCGCTATCGCCACTACATAAATGATGGTGACATATTTTATTTTGTCACTTTACTTGATCGCCTCACAGTTTTTTTCCACCATGCCAAACCCACTACTCCATGCATTCAATTCATTTTTGCCTTTTTCTCGAACGTCGTGGAATACTGATTGAACAAATGACGGCGACTATCTGTGATAAAGACAAAGAATCCGATCGTACGGCTATCTCGTGGATTTAGAGATAATGAACTCCACCAGCGCTTAATTGCCTCATGAAGTAGACCAAAAATCAAGGAGCAACACCCAAACTCACCCGCAATTCCGAAGGCTTGAAGGACGAGCACGAAGGAACAATCGGCTTTGAGAAGTGTCTGAACTACTCAACTTTCGAAATCGGGTGACGAAAATAAAATGTCAAGATAATTAAATGTTTTGTTAATGCGACAACTGCCTGAACATGATCGTGCTGTTTTGCTTCCGAATGCCGAAGTCCAGTGAAATTTTCTCATCAATTAGAATTCTTTTGATTTGGCAGCTTTCAACGATAATACAGTGTTGCATATATATTATATATACATATATGTATATATGTATATATATAACGTTGAGCGATATGCAAAGTATTGAAGGTCGGGCGCGATTTAAACCCGTATTTAAGCATTTTCGTGGAGCATGTTAACTATTGCACTACCCGCGCTCCCTTCGCCATTACTGTTGTGTCTTAAAAAAAGTGATGGTAGAATAGGAGCGTCGGTAGGGCAACGGTTCAACACGCGTTCCTGGAAAGAGTGGATCTGGGTGCGAATCCCGGCTGACGCAAATGCTTTTGCACAGCACTTTACATTACTGGATATATTAAAAGAAGACGAAATTCATCATTTTTCACTTATCGATCTGCCCATCTGATGAAACAAACTAGACGTGTTTAGATATCATTGTTTCTCTATAGTTTCGGTCGTCGACGTCGACACGCAAGAATTCGATTCAACCACAGTCTGGAAAGGTTTGTTACACAGATGTAATAAACATGACCAAGCCCAAAATTCCCGCTGAAATTTGAAGTGACTTAGCAGTAGTAAGAAACAAGACTAACTGACCCCTACGGCATCTATGACGAACTAGAAAAAATCGACGGAATCTCAAAAATTAGAGATACGAAGATCAGTTGTCGGGACCTTCACAAACACATCGTTTACCTCTCAACCCTGCTAAATGAGAACAGGATTCCTACCACCTTGGGCATTGTCAACTAAGAACTTCTACTACAAGATTTTTCTTTTGAAAAGCGTGCAAAGCGAAGAGGTGATAGTCAGATGGTGATAAAGAGTGCTGCACGGCTGATGATCCAACAGCTCAAAGCCCAGTTCGATCAACTTCCTCTTTGTCAATTGAGTAACGTGCAGCCTTGCGTTATCCTAAAGTACGATGAGATTATTGCCTCGCCGACGTGACTGTTTCTGATTGCAGCGGTCCAGGTGTTCACAGTAGCGCTCAGAGTTGGTCGCCTGTTGTTAACAGAATGCTATGTTGTTGTGGTGTTGTTGCTGTTGTTGTCAGTATTGCTAAGCAATTTTGATACTTCTAGTTGATAAATTTATTGTCCATTACTCTGGTGCTAAAACTCATCAGAAAATTCAATACGAACATCTATTAAATGCGCTGGTTTACAATATCGAAATACCGAAATGACTAATGAACAACTGGGAACAATATTTTCTCCATTCGAATCTCAATGAAAGAACAATGAAGAACTTTCCAAACGGAAGGAACTGCTTTAAACCCTTCTATACGTTCCGTAATCCTATTATTAGCAAACCAGAAGATGTTCATTTGCTCAATCGTGCGTACCTTCGTGAAGAAGCTAGAAGAAAGATAAAGTTACACATGACACGATCTTGTTTATTTTCTGTTTGATTTCCTTATGTGCGTACAATTTTGGAGGGTCATCATTGTTGTTTTTTGTTCATTGTTAGGGTTAAAGGCATGGGAAGATAAACGCTCACATACCAGAAAAAATTTTTTGGATAGGGATATACAAGTTTTTCGCAATCTACTAAGGATCGTGGTTCGAAGAGGATCCATAGAAGGCTGCACGATGGGCTCTATATAGCAGTTATTCCCCTAATAACTGCTACTTTATTTTCTCTTCCACGCTTATTCTACCGCATATCATCAAATAATTAATATTCTAATTGTAGATAATCAAAAAAGTCAGGCAATGAGTCATTGCGACGGTTAGCGACTAGGGTTGGCAGGTGGACAGTATTTTGGCTTGCAGCTAGCGCTTCGAAAGGTTTTCAGACAACGGACAGACAGAAGAACTTTCGAGCGACTGTCAAATGGCACGCCTCCGATGGCATTCCATTTGTCTCAATTTGCTTCGTAGTTTGGTAGTTGCATAGCTCCAATGTTGCAGAGTTCCCATTATTCATCTAACTTCATTCATACTTATTCATTCAACTACATATCGTCAGACTGTTATTTGTATTGTTATTATTGCTATAAACAGTTATAACCCAAACGTGAAGTGATTCCGGGCTTAGGTACAAGTCGAACATTCTGCTTCGAGTCAGTAATAATTGTGTGTTTAGGACTAACTCGAAACTCAGCATTCTCCACTGAGCAACTAACACACTCTATCTCAGAGCGAAAGGCAATAGCTTTGACAACAACAGTCATCTTATGGAGAAGACTCTCAAAAGAAGCTTGAGAACAGGAGTGTTAAGCAATTCGCTTTAACACTCACACCAGCATCCTCGTGGTCATGTTGATAGCTATTCCATGGCAACGATGCCGTTTTTGTATTCATAAAATATTTATTGGTAATGGATTGTTAAATTTTGAATGGTTGTGAATTAAGAGAACGGTTTGAAGCTTTGTCCTCATGCTGCATATGAGATATCGCGAATGATCAAATGTTTTTCTTACATTTGCATTTTTTCAGTTGCAATCTCTTTTCTATGACTCAAGAAATTTCCATAAGTCAGTAATGAATGGCAAATTTTATGACTAAATGAGATTCTTTTTATTTAACCGATTCTAGCGGTGGTATGATGTTACAAACACATGTATTTAGAGTGATGTGCAAATTTTTCGCGCAAGGCAGGACTAGAAGCCGCACCTCATTCTTTCCGGGAGCGCGTGCTCTATCCGCCTCACTACTGACGCCCATTTTTCAAAGACCTCATTTGACTTTTGATACCTAATATCTGTCGGCGTGACTGAGTTCAATGTCGAGGCTGACTACACGGGCCAGGCCGTTGATGGTTGGAGGCTGACAGATAAATGCGCTGTAGCGTCAAAGGAGTAGTGTGGAAAATTGGCTTCAGTAGAGTAACGGGTAGAGCACGCGATCCTGGAGAGAGTCAGGTGCGGGTTCTAGTCCCGCCAGATGCGAAAATTTTTTCGCCTGATAAAAAAAAATTTTATTATGTAAATCTATGTCATTGAATAGTCTAACACTTAAATCAGGGCATGACCTTTGTAGGAGTCATACGACGCAGGACAAATAATCACAGTGATCATTAATACTGCTTGCTTCGCTCGAATCAATCACTACAATAAAACCTTCACATTTAACTAATGGTTTTCTTCTGTTTTTTCACCAATATTAAGTTAAATCTCTAAAGTCCATGCTATACTTCTCGGCGAATTTATTAATTCAAGGCCTATATACTGAAACATTTCCTCCAGCACGACACTATGGTGTTACCCGAAGGAATTACTTGTGTTTGAAGCTCCCAGTAATTCATGAAAGATCTCAAGAACTCAATTTCTAAACGTTTCTCAATCCTGAATCCTCAACAGATCAGCACGACGTACTAAAATTTCACATAGATTCACGAGGTATTCGTCTCGTACAATCCAGTAATGGGAAATTGTCAATTCTCAAACAAACTTCGTGATCTCAATAACTCCTCCACTCGTTCACCATATATGCATGAGTTTTTCTTATGATTCATGGTTTTCTCAACAAATTGTCTATTTTACCGACTCTTCACTTCAATTCATTAAATAGAGCCCATCAACATGTTTCTAGTATGCAATAAATGCCCATGTGAATTCTCAACGTAACTATGAAAGTGCTTCATTTACCTTTTTCTGGTAGAATGGAAATTTGGAAATTATTGTAGCGTGCAAATCTGACCTCATTGGAAATATGATGTCGTTGTCATGAAAAGCAAGAATATTTTAGTTCACAAATCTGTCTCAATCACTGTGAATTAACATGTTCGATTAGATGAAGGCGACACAACCCCCTTAGCTAACTGAGTCTCCCCACATCTTCGCGTTGGCGAAACATGCGACTGAAGAACTTACTCTTGCTATGGTGATCTCTATAATGAGTGTAGTACTAATGTCCAACTAGCAAAAATAAATATGTAGCGAAAGTAATCAATAGCTTACAACAATGTGATTTAAAGCTGGATGAGACCTTTATCGACACTTTGAGTACAAGGTCACGGCGCTAGCTCCTCTCTGCCGCCGCCTGCAAAGGCAATTAGTCTGAAATGCCGAGTGGCTGGTCATGTCCGCCACTGGGAATAAGTCTGCTGGTTCGATCAGCTGTCAAGACGAGCGAAGGAGACAAAGTGAAGAATTAGTCGCGCTCGGGCCGTCTACAGGAAGTTTCATATTTTTACACGCCATTTCGCTAGCATTTTCCATACGCGCCATTCTCGCATGAGTAGCAAGCGAATTCGTTCCCATGACAGCTCCATATTAAAGCAAGTACAGACAACTCTTATACTTAAACGTTCGCAAAAAATGCGCAATTTAGCGCTACCAAAATTAATCAGTTCCAATTACTCCAATTAGGAAATTTGGTGTTTATTCATCTAGTTCCAAAACTTACAGAACGACGTAATAACCACTTTTAGCAATTGTATAATGATGTTACAAACATCCGATGTTGAGGGATATGCAAAACTCTGAATCACGGACAAGATTTGAATCCGTGTTTCACATATTCTGATAACGTGCGCTAGTCACCGCACTGTCGAGATTACTGTTCTGTTATCATTATTTTAGTGATACAACATGTCGACATGTCAGCAGCCAGCAGTTAACGATTTGGCCTGGTTAATATGAAACGGCAATGAACTCAGTTATGCTGACAGAAGAAATCCAATGATCATTAAATGTCTAGCGGAAAAACTCTTCTGCACGGGAAAAGCTTGAGTCGAAATAAATCCGCATTTGCAAAACCTTAGGTTCTTTTGACTGTTACAGCGCTCTAAGAAGTTCTATCCAAAACCAGGTGCACCGTTGAGATTGCTAGGATTTGCCCCACCAACAATTATTTAATGCTCATGAAAGAAAAGTTATCTCGCGAGAAAGGCTTGAATGTGAAACAAAATCTGATTTTACCTAGCACAGCGTGAAAAACAGGCCTTTTGAGGAACAAAATTCATCGTTCAAATTCAATTGATTTTGATTATCGAATGTTCTTCGAAACGTTCAGCAAAAGTGAAAAGTACGTCATCACCACAGGGCTCAAACACGGTGGAGTTAACGAAAAAAAATCGCGTGCTTCCATCTTTTCTTCGCATGCCATGGCTATAAATAAAGAATTCGTACAAAACTACGCACTGATCAGATATGGGAATCTGAAGTGCACTAAAAAAGTATTGAGAATTATCGATGAAGTGGGATGATATGAAATAAGCAGCACTATTTTTGACGGCTATTCATTGTTTTTCATTTTTCAGCCAGTTTGATGAATTCAATGCGACAGACTATGTAAAAACTGAAAGAAACAGAAGATAAATTCGACTGATTTGCGGGAAAGTATGAATGAAATATCATGAAAATGTTCG